TTTAACATGTTCGAACAAATGTATCTGGTGCTACAAGTAAGGATCATTAAAGCTGACTTGTGAATTTTTAAAAGCTAACTACTTAAGCTTCCAGCGAAGACATCTTTCCTTTGATTAATCTGATTACAGGCAGCTTTTGGACAAACAAGTTTGAATCGAAGTCATTCAAGGAAATCGCAGTGATTAGCGACTGCACTGATAAAAATGCATGTAAATCCTACAGAACACCAGTTCTAAAAGGAAACTTACAATGCGGCCATCCTAATATGAGAGTTTCAAATGCAGGCCACTGCATCATACTGCACCCTAAAACAGCCACCTAATTACTGAGTGAAACGGTAGCGCATACTTTCGGCATCATGATCAAGAAAATGTTTTCCAGCAGGGAAATTCACTTGAATTCCTTTGCAACATAAATAAACACGAAATTCTGTGTAATCACGATATGCGGAATGACTTCTCTGATAAAACCTGCGCCACTCGGGCAAACTCGTTATACCCAGTCCTCAATATCACAGAGTTCCTTTCTGACGAATCAGTCTAAATCCTTTTATGGGCATCCTCATATATTCTCCTTATCTTCATTGAAAAATTGTCCGTGTATGTTGGTTCGCAACTGAGAGGTATTGTGCACACTAAAAATTCATATTTTAAAGCAGAGTAATGATGAGCTTTAGTCTGCACAAGGTGTATATTTGACAGCTTTAATATACACCGAATAGATATCAAATGCGTTAGATTTATTTGATCTAGTGGACACAAATGAGTAAGGTTAATCATTCAGGTACATTCGAATAACGGACGCTTTGTTATTTTCTAAACGTCTACTGAATTTCGGAGTACTGTCAGCTTCCAAACCTTCACTTTTCATCAGGGTAACCTGATGTACTCAGGATGTCACATCGAGGGTGCACCGAGCTATGTTTCCAGATCAGTGTACTTTACTCAGGCGGTATGGAGGACAAGGCATTGTGGATGATCAATATTTTGACTGCAAGACTGAGTGAATTTTCTAACACAAACATGTAGCAAAGTTACATCAGTCCAACTCGCACAGAAACATTTATGAACGAACACTTCAAAAAAACTTAAAGTTTTGGGTTACCAGCCGCATCTGTCTGCTCACTGTCGTGGCTGACAAACTGGCGTCTGGTCATCATATGTTGTCATATATGATCGCTTGTGTTTCAAACACAATATTCACTAACCAACTCTAAGAGTTCATGTGCACTTACGCACTACTGATTAGGCTAAAAACATTCCATAGTTCGTGCTCAAAATACTAAGGGGCCATGTAAGCTAAAAATGTCGGAACCTAAATATTAATCAGTCTCCATACACCAGACAAATGTTTTCTCGCGTTGAACATTCCCACGTTTCGATGGAGTCAGATATCGTAGCAAATCCGGCGGCAGATGCTGCAAAAACATACTCTGACCATCTGAGTTATCAAACAACTACGTCACATAATTCAAATTTCAAGAAGCTGACAGAGTTTGTCCATAACTTGCGACTGGCTGCAACGTTAATGCGAGACAATGACTTTGGTGTGCAACTCAGAAACTGCTTTGGATCGGTATTTTTTCAAAGAATTCTCAAGATTAATTTTTTCTTATTCTCTAGTCCTCCGAAAATTACAGTCTTCGGCTCATTGCTGACCATCAACTTTCAGCTAGTATACTGGATGTTCAATATTGTGATCCATTAGTCGGCTCATGGTAAGGTGTGCTCAATGGTCAAAGCCATGATCGAAAGTAACGGGAAAAAGTACAGGGTCATATTCTCGCTCGAACTATTTTGCTACCGTGGAGCCACACATCCTCTTTAGATCTTCAGTTGAACAACTCATGCCTCCATGCCATAGAAGGAAAGAAATTCAATCCATACATGCTCAAGTATACGAAGTGCCAAGTGAACGTAAAAGCTGCCACAGATTTATCACAGTATCATGATTATCCGTGCAGACATTAGAAAGTGAGCTTGTTAGTTTGCACGGTGCTCACAAATGTTTGGCGACTTTTACTCCGCAGCATTACAAATTTTGTTGAAAAACGGTCGCTTGCTGTCTCCAAAGTTGCGACAGCCAAAGGACCGTTTTGTCACATAACAAAGGAGGGATGTGGAATTTATGTATAGTAGTAAAATACAGCTTTATGACTATGTGTTGTTGATACAGAAACTAAAGTACGTCCCTGGTGGACGATGACACCAAGTACTTTCTTAATTGACGGGTTTATTGCAGCACGGCTGCACGTTCAATCATGCATTGCAGTATTAAATGTTCTAGAACCTCTACGGAGTTTCCATTGTCAATTTTCGGAAGACAGCATTCCGATTTTGTTGTTCTTTAAACAACCACTATGCTGATATGTGAGCTATTCTGGATAGCTCACAAAAAATACCTTCAGTAATATATTAATTCAAACGCAGTGCGTGAAGAACACCTCATGGTTGAATTAAAAATAAATTTTTCCAAGTATTTGGCAGAGTCGACAATTTAACACGGAAATGTCGTGGAGTGAAGACTTAAAAAATTATTTTTTCCATCCATTACCTCACTGTTAAATGGAAATCGGGTTATCCTCATCAGATAGAACTTACTGGTTTCTTTAGGATTCAAAAACGTCGACGTTGGTGAAAATCGGCTGATTACTATTTCTCAATTGTTGATTCTTGCTACATCAGCTAATTTCTCATTACCACACGAACAGGCAAAATTTGCTTACTCATAAAATCATTTCGATAACTACTACAACTCAAGGCACAACATAGAAACGGCGAATTCAGTTTTATGAACAAATAACAACCCTCTGCCACACACGATTATCTGTGGCCACAAGTTCGTCTTATGATGACCACTGAATTATTCGAGCATAAAGGACCTCCTTTCCGGAAGAAAGCCAGCCAGAAGAACAATACACGTGTATTTTGCTGAGAGTCATGTTTACGGACTGTGTTTATGGCATTGGTGTGCTACGTAACGCGGCACGAGGTCAGTAAATAATAAACTCGAACAGTCTAAGCGTTGTAGGCAATCCTAACCTGCCCGACTCTCAAGTAGCGTCATTTGACCTGATAAGATGCCTAAGAAAGTCTTGGAGTCGTGCAAGACCATGTATGACCGTCAATGACGAGCAGATAAACACATATTTCCTGAGGTTTCTTGATTAAGTTTATGAAACAAGACTAGATGGAATATGTTATTCGCAGTACTGTAAAACGTGCTGAAAGTGATGTATGACAACGCAATTGAGATTTTTATATTCACTTCACTTAAAATAGCGTATCAGTTTCAGACGGAAATCCCAGGAGCTTCCGGGGTGGTAGAGGATTCCAAGCGGCTGTAGCATAACTAGTTAGGAGGGTTCTGTTCACAATATCTACGTCTGTTGATACCCTTATGATTTATGTGGTTTGTGAGTTGTTTATTATAACTTATACCAATAAGCAATCCATTTCTATTCTGAAACCTATCTTAGGATAACTAAAACCCCGAAGCTTAGGGTTTTGGTTGCCATGTATCTTACACATATTATGGGAACAGATTTAGCAGCTTTGGCTTCGCGAACGAGCACTTAACTTTTGTGTTTCGACCCACCATCTGCTAATAATGGCCTGCAAATAAACTATCTAATTTGAAAAAGATATTAATCTTGCTTTCTAACCTCACGAAAACTGTTCCTCTATAATCGTCAAGGAAATTGTTGCCTCTTGAATAAGCTGAGCAAATTACCGCTTTGAATTTCGAGAGGCAATGTGTTAATTTTTAGTAGAGTTTCCAACCACACAGCTTAGCACACTACCATCAAAGAATGACACAAGATGAGCATTTGGCCCTTCTTTGGAGCGCTTCTCTTTTATGGACCGAACGCTGACTCAAAAGATTTGGAGAACTCGATTTGGACTTTTCAGATAAAAACATCTTACTCCATAAAGTAATCTGGGTGGCGAAAATACCTTTTCTACACTGGCTTCTAGTGTGTTATACAGTTAAAAGTATACAAATACTGCATTTCTATTTAATTCAGTTATGTATCCCCTAGGTTTATCATTCGTGGTCATTCATTAAAAGCGCGAAAAAGCACCTCTATAAACCGGAAAAATGACTCTGAGACATCATGAAAATCAACTGATAAACTTAAAAGGAATGTTTTGGGCAAATAACAAGTCGACTGTCAGACAGTATTTCTACTGGGTTGGATCCATTTGAAATATCCCACACCAATGCGTATAATATAGCCAAGTTGTCGTATTGTCACCGATGTCTGTCGATAAATAACCGATGCAATTTTTATTCTTAAATCCAAATTTCCTGTACTTTAACCCAGTCAGTTACAGGTTCATAACTTATTCGACTTTACTTGACTTCGCTCCTAAACGCGACCATTTAGATCCGAGAAGAATGCAACATAACAGACACTTGCACCAAGGCCGAAGCAGCCCCAGTACACAACAACAGTATGATACAAGATCCGTCACTCTCTTCAACTAATTTCTCGTGTGACCTTAAAACTCTAATTAGCCAGATTCACAGGTACCTTACAAAATGTCAATAGCAATGTGTCAAACGTAGGGCTTTTTGTTACTGGGAAAGCATTCGTGCTATAGATGAGGATGATTTCGGACATATTAGAATGACAACAAACTGTCGATGGTTGAAATCACCATCTACAGTATGCACGCTTATGGTGCAGTCCTCAAATACGAAATACACCCAACGCACATATCGTTCGCTCAGGATCTGCTCTCGGTATTCGCTGGATTTTTATCGATGCAGTCGAAGGGTTGCTGATACCAATCGAAAATTCAGTTCCCAGATAAGTGATCCTATGAAAGTGTGCCAACTATGAAGGATACTTTTCGAATTGTGTTGATAACCACAAAGTACGGTTAGATTTTGACTAATTGTTTTGCACAATTTTCAAAAAAAGTTGAACACATATAATGGTAAAGCTTCTAAACGTTGCGAAAATGTTGTCTTGCGAACACCTTTTTTATCCATGAAAATTTCGTCGGTTTTGATCTTTAGCACTTGTCCATCAGCTGGAAAGGTATGACAAGCTTCATCCGATTAAATTTGAATTTAGTTTGGAAATTTCATCCAGTAAAACGCGCGTTGTGTCTCAGTGCTTTCTACGCAGCTTAAGACGACAAAATCCTTCTTTTATTTCAAGATTGTTTCAAATTAAACAGACAGGCCACCTTTGGTGCAAGTCTGGCACAAGTGCTGTCGTGCACAGGACAAATTAATCACAGTGTGTCTATCATCTGTTGCTAACAGCAACGTTTTGTTGTCATATGTATGGCCAAAGTTGTTAAAATGTAAATTCCTTGCAAACTATTTGAACCAACCATGTGTCTGTATATTTAAAACTAGCTAGCATGTGTCGCTCAAATGAAACAGTGATGTCTTCCACAAACAAATGCAGTGATTAAGTTCTCTAGTGGCGATTACTCGTCTTAATTTAAGGACCGGAAATATACTTCTTTTGAACGCTGAATAACGCCATAAGATTGTGCTGGCATTGTTGGTCCTGGAAACTGCACTAAACCGATGGCAGTTATTCCATTTATAAAGCAGTCTATCACCAAACAGATTTGTCAGTGACTCATTGGCCAAAACTTCCCTGAAAATATACATATAGGTGCACAAGTTTCGCGCTTTTCGGTAGCACTTTCGGGAGTTAACCTCAGGAGTCTTAGATAGTAAGAACTTTGCCATTTTAAGCTGTGTTCGAGGTAGGACTGCCGAAACTGGCGACTTCTCGTAGTCGGAAACTGTGGGTGCCACACTAATATCTTTTGGCAGAATGCACCCTGAGGATTTTGCCGTAATTGTTTCCCATTGTCCGCGGTAACAAATGGAAGAACTCGAACTATGACTTTAAAAGCCGGCACGTGACGTTTTAATAAATGGATTCTGAACATAATCAACTAAGTGTTCAATGTCTGCTGGCCTTAATACATCCAGTGTTTTGACATCCGCGCAATCTGTTTTTGAAACTTTCACCCAAAACTTTGCCTTCAAAGGACCAGTTAGCACGTAAATACATGGCCACTGAATGATGAAAGGCACCATATTTTGTCCAATTTTGGGTAAGGACACAGCCAATCAGCTTATCATAGTCGAACAGTATGAATGGTCGTCATCTTCCAAGGAATGATGAGCAAGTATGGCCAAACCACAGCACATTTGAGTGCATTTGCCGAATTTCAGGCGGTCTAACCTGAAAGTAGTGTAGCCAGCTTAGAGGTGATGTACGGTCAAGGGTATAGGATCAATGGAGGGACACGTGACGTCTCATGTAATATACTCCCAAACAGCCTAACCATGACAACACGTCGGTAAGCACCGGCTTTAGTTAAGTCTTTATCGGGCAGATATCGGCGTTATCTGTCGATTCTCTTAAGTTTCATTGAAATACCATACCTTCCTCAATTAAGCACCCAGCTGTCTTATTGGAAACCACTCATCGGCACATCTTCAAAATGTTCTAATGTTGTCCACCTTACGATAACAACATCTGGCGTGTAATCATCAGAAAATGAAACAAACTTACCTCAGTTCCATATGGTTACGTCTATCAGTTACACTGGTGTGTAGGCTGATGACGGGAATACAATTCCTTTTAAGTCTCATGCAGGCATACGTTGTGAACCTCCATAAGTTCAAAGCAGGACCGGGGAGTTTCAGTACCATCTGGATGGTTAGAATGTTTTGTAACACTGTCGTGCTTTCCATGTGGTTAAAAATTACACTCTCAGAACAAGGGCACAAAGATTGCGATTTCCATACCCTCAGTAGATTCAAGTGATGTAAACTGCAGATGATTCTCAACGGGCTTGAAAAAGTTATGCAGTGCTGCTCAAATTTGCAGAACAGGCTGATTCAGCTTGCCGGGTAAACTGGCGAATAACGAATTTGGTCCTAATGTACTTTAATCAAAACTCTGATGCAAAAATATTTTTAGAAAGAAATACAATAGGCTAGAGCTGAAGCAGACTGTGACATGTATACATGCCAATTTGAGGCGTTCCTAAATTCCGCAGAGGAGAGTATATAATCCCACACAGGTAAAGTGGTGTTTAAATGTGAGGTATACGTTGCTACATTCAAGAGCGTAGCCATGACTACATGTTGCACTTACGGTATTTCGTGTGGTGGTTGCAGCCAGTGAGGTTCAAAGATCATACCAGTCATTCAGACAAGTGCTCAGCGTCTATTTATCTGAGCCAAGCGACGACCTCAGAGCCCGTTAAATAACCAGAGATTTCTCACCTAAATTGCTTACGATCATTACCAACTAGATGAATAAAAAGTAGAAATCAAAGTTATTTTGAAGTTGTCGGGGTCTTGAAAACTGGTGCTCATGCAAGCAAACGATGCATGCTTGAGATACATAATATCAGCTGAATTAAGTACAGTAATGAGTAAAAGGTCACTTTCCGCCCAAGTGCACAAATAACTAAGAAATATTCTCTAACATTATAATGTTAAGATCATCTCATTATTTCTTCTTATGGGAATACACAGAGGGAAATCTGTACAACGACTCAAAATGGGAAGAATTCTGGGCATTTTAACATAAAAAACGCTTTATTATTTCCATTTTTTGTTACGGAATAACGGATTGGAAAGTCCCTCGCAGCGGAAGAACCCTTATTTTAAAAGACGTCAGGAAAACAATCGTCACACTCAGTCGTACTGGGCAACAAACTGCTGCCAGCTGAAATATGGCACAACCTGAAATTTCGAAATATTCCTCCATTTGAATCAACCATCATATTTAAGCTAGGTTGAACGATCGCTTTCCCGCACGCTAGTTTGAAATATACTTGATGTGCACGCAAGCCAAACGAATGTCTCATTACTCATGTTCATTTAGAGTTTGTAGCGTAATACTAGCTTTTTCGATTAGCAGTTAACTTGGCATGGTATATTCTCAGAAATTCTCCGCGAAATTTGGAGTACTAATTCGCACACGTTCTGTGGCGGATATTTTCACCGAATAAATGGTGACGATCTAAGAAAATATCCATTTCAGCTAGACCTTAGGTTCAGTGGTTAAATTTTCTTTAACACTACCAGGAGTAATTCACTTAAATATTCCTACACATGTTGCAGTCATCGCTGGTAATAATGCAGTAACAACAGCAAAGTGTCCTAGCAAGAAAAGTATCAAATTAAATCTCCTGGCGAGTTAAAAATCTCACAAGATTTCCCACTTTCTAGGGTATCTGTTGGTGTGTCAAACTATTTTTCGACCATGTAAATGTTTGTTTGTTCAGTCATATAGTCAGCTGAGGTTAAAATTGAATAGGGACCCAAAAGAAAAGAAAATGTTCTTTATAAAACTGACCAAATGCCGTTGAACTATAACAAAATTGGGAATTTTTCTGGTTACATCCACCGCAACATATTTTTTTCGGTCAGGTAAAGTGTGAAAACCTTTAAACACTTACATGATAAGGCTTTGAGCCTCGCACAGGGTCAGCTAAATCATGCTTTCGGTTGCATCACCAAAATCTAAGCACATATTTATGCGCCATATTGTTACGCCATTAGAAAACGTTTCTTGGCAGATATACTCCGAAGCAGTCACAGAAGTGACACAGCCTAATCAGATCAATTGCGGACAAACACTGCGTGAGTCAAAACTCGGTGCGTTATTAAGGCATGTTCGACCAACGTCAAGAGAGAAAATGTACTGTTATTTCAGCCCAAATGAGAAATTTGGGAGTAATAAGGATGAGGAAACATCATTAGGATAGTCCACAGGGTCAAGCACTATGGCAACTCATGGACGTTGACGTATCATTGCAAAGAACTCGTACGTTACCCGGTTGCACGTATATACTACTGAGTGAATGCGTCAAACGCCTCAGAGCTACCTAAAATCGCACAGCTTTTCTTGTCTGTCTGTCAAATATTTTAGCTTTACAGAGGAGGTAGTTTGACCAAGGCGGAATAATCGCATATTCACAACCGAGTACGTTGTACAGCTCGTAATTTGGGTGCACCGTCAACCCTGTATATTCCGTGTTTTATTGAAACCTTATTTCTGGTAATATTTTATCTAATCATGTTGACTTCCCAAGTGTACTTTGGAAATGATACCAACAATGTTTAGTTTGGACCTTACAAACTTTTTGGTAACAGACACGTCATCAAAGCCGAACTTTGGTGGCATTTTCTCATCCACCTCTGCCAACTGACAGCAACCTAAAAGTGACACACGTGAATGTCACAGAAATGACACCAAACTCTGATAAGCTATGGCATGAATGCAAAAATTTATTCAGTCGAATTTTTTCCCGTTAAGTTAGAAGGCAAAAGAAAAACACAAGGAGGACGCCTTCGAAATTTTTAGCGCTTTAAGCAAACGAAGCAAATGAATGTTAGAAAATGACCTTTTTTGTACTGTAACGGAATTACATGAGACTAATAGATTGGGATTTATTCCTTGACGTCTTGGCCACCACAAGTGATCTTCATCAAAAGTAAATATTCCAAACGACATCTAATAAAACCTGATTTGAGTGTTTGGCGCGCGTTACCCTGTTGATATTTACTTCCTTAAATGTCAGAAATATTTTATCTTACGTTCTGTTTTAGGATGTACGAAAATCTATTGGTCATATATAGTTCCATATTTTACATAAGCAGGTGTAATCGAGCAGGTAGCTCCTGACTGCTAAATGTTCACTACCATTTAGGGTGCAGCAATACTGTCAATCCAAAGACAAAAGGAACGCATCCCAGTTTTTCTATATTATTTACTGTGATTCGATTATCCTCCAGTCAGGCTCAAGACTGATCTTAGTCAGCAGGCTTTGGGGAACCAGAGTTATCACAATATATTCCTCGTTATCACATAGCTAGTTTAGACTATGAGCATGACGACCAAACCGCAGGTAACAAGTGGCATTTCAGGTATTTTATTTAAACCGTTCTTATATATGTCTACAACACTATAGCACACGTGTAAAATTCTAAATCAGAAAAATTTCAGACAATGTTTTGGCGTCAAAAATGTTGCTAGCGTGTGTAGTGCCTCTGTGGCTTCGTGTTAATAGGTTTGCTGGGGCTTGCTGAAAAGCAATCACGCGATTTTCTGACAGGATTCGATGGGCCGAACGGTCATTTTTGGACTAACTGACGGAATTTGGACAAAATGTCTCATTCATTTAGGCGAGATGTCGGTGCTTACTTATACTGAGTGAACTGGCTCGGATAGATTGGCACTTTCGTGCATTTATAAAGCCACTGAAAAAGTTTTTTACCCGGCACACTTACAATAAACTGCATAAAAAACGTTTTCAACTGCAACTTCAATAAAATATCCACCGCAGCATGTCACTAAACTTCCCGTCGGTAAAACAGACCATTTTTTCCTGTCAAAAATTACTGCGCGCATTTTTGTTTTACCTCAGAAAAACAACTTCAGGTGCGTCAAACTTGGGATTTTTTCATTGGCATAGAAAGGTGTGTCGTTTTCACTTAGGAATAACAGAGACTGGGCTATTCATCTAGCTTTGATTTCGCGAACTTTGCGTTTTCATCTAGATGTTTCTGTATCTTTCAATCCTTGGGTAGTTTTCCAACTTTCCACAATGTTGCACTTACATGCAAGATCATGACTCTAAGTAATAAACGACCGCCCTTTGTGTGCGCACAAAATTAAAACAAGCTGTCAACAATTAATTGACCTTTGTACATTTTTTGATAACACATTTGTAAATGGATATAGTTTCTACATAAACTGGGCGATTTTATTATTCTTACATTTTAGTCCCCCTTTTCCTCCGAGGTCCGACTAATAGACACCCGTATCACCAAAGGACAGAACGGTTTTGGTATAACCTTGGCAGAAGTTTTGACATTTATTTCGAGCCGTCTGCTTGGACTCCATGTTCCAACATCTCTCCACCCAGACAGCGTTGGTTTCTATCAGCGTCTGCTACAGATACGTCACGTTGCAGAAAACCGAGTGGTTTACAGCATAAGCGGTCAGTCCGAGCAGCCTACTCCAGTGCGCCCAGGGGATATCCTTTTGGCAATAGGAAAGCATCGACTGGCGGGATGTAGTCCTGAATATGCTGTGCGGTTGCTATCCGGCATATCGGTTGGTGACACCGTCAATATTACGCTCCTTCGTGGCGTTTCGTTAGCTCCAATCGATCTTCAGCCTTCTTCGTTTACCTTCTACCCAACGCACAGTTCACCGTCAAACACGTTTTTTCCTTCATCGAAACAATCGGTCTGTCTAAATCACTGTGAAATGACCACTAATCTTAAGAACTCGCAGGTGAACAACTGCCAGTCTCAATTGTCATGTTCAATTCCCACAAACGTTGGTCCCTCCGGAAAACACAATGTAAGTGATTTTTCTCTGTCTACAAATATATCCCTCAAAACAAATTTAAATGGAAACCAGGTTTTTTATTTGTTTTGGAAAATGAACCCCATGAAGTATTTAGTGAAAGAATCTTGTTTATTTCCTCTTTGAAAAAATATAGATACAGGAACTTCTGCTTAAAATCAATTGTACACAGAATGATTCATCCTAAAACATTTATAATGTGGCTACGAACATAACTGTTGTAAGGAACTTTTGCTGTAATAAGATTTCCCTCGAACTCAGGTGTTTTATAACCAGTAACGACAATACAAAGTCACGAGTATATATATATGTATATATATATATATATTGTGGTGAATTGTACTTTTGCTGAAGGATGATACTAATCAGAACCAGAGGAAGACCGCATCGGCTCTACTTTGTCTGTGTCTTGCAAGTCAATTTCCAGCACGCATATTTTGCAAAATCAGTGGCATGGTCTAGAGAATGCCGTATTTTCTTTTGTGACATCTGTGTTAGTTAGGTCACTTTATTTAAAGGTTGCAATTTCGGTTGACTGATAGCCGGAATTCATCGCACTTATATTGGTACTATGGTGCAAGAACGCATCATGTGAGGTACGTATAAGTTTATCTATCACCAGGAAAAATAGAATTACGGTGACCAATTTAATTTGTGGCCGCTGACAGAATAACATTGCAGCATAATATTGCATTGCAAAGAGCGAAGAAATGGTATAATGGCTTTCCGAGTTAGCGATATTTTTGAGAAAACATGTTTCCACTCAGACATCCCAACTGGTTGTATTGTGGAAGCATGTGAACATGGAATGATGTCTTAAAAATTCAAATGCGTCATTCACCAAAATAACAGGCGTGGCCTATTTTGCTGTGCCTGAAACAACACTGGAACTAGATTTTGCAATATGCTCTGTACATTTTGAGTGGTGGTTCGAGAACTCACCGGTAATGGATTAACCCGGAAAGTGTGCCATGCTTTGGAAGAGAGGCTGCATTTAATTCCGGTGTAACTCCAGAGGGACTCCTAAATTCGCCGCTGTCTTATTCCTTAAAAGTTGATGAATGAAAGAGGATTGTTCATTCACAAAAAACAATAGCTTGAATACAAGGAGGCTTTTGATAATCTGACCAAATTTTTTCACCAAAAATTCCTAACCCAAGCCTTAAATCTTATCCCATCCATGGGTAATATCTCAAGTGTGTTTAGTATTTAACTCCTTCAAGCAACACACAAGGCTATTTACTTTGATTGGGAGTGTTTACCCTCTATCGACGAGGGCAAGCGGCAAGGGCAGTGGATGCTCATGAGATTAACTGGTCCAAAACTCAAGCACACCCAGAAGGTGACATGCCAAATACCACCTAAAAACCACCTGAAGCTACCAATCTAGCATGAAACCTGTATTTTTGCATTAGTGCTATATAGAGTTTTGACTAAATGCCCTTCGAGTCATAAACGATAGCAATGTATGCAAAACATTCTGCTGTTCCAAATTCAAAGGCGCTTTACAACAACTTCAACCCTTTACCGAATGCCTGCTTGGCTTAATTGCCTACAGACGCATGGCAGCTGAGGTCCATAAGCCAAGTAACTGCAAACCAGGCGGCTTATACGCAGGGGCGTTCAAGCTGATGGGGCTGACATGGCAGCATGATTATTGAAGGTAAAGGATGTTTAGCGAATATATGGAGAATGTATATATAGTCCCCACTCACAGAAGGAAAGAGAATCGATTTCCTTAGAATCAGTCTCTCTCGTTCAGAATTCAAAAGTGTATTATCCTCAGGGAAATCGGCAGTGGCATTCTGGAGGGAATTGCTGTTGAGGAGCAATGCGGATTTATAGTAATCCAGTTGGTAGGGACTCCATTTTTGCAACTTTGCAAATCGTGAACGAAACCAACCAATCTACGGACTGTTTGTAGATTTCACCTGGCCTTCGACTCAGCTAACATTTGGAATCGGACTCTTTGAGACTCACACTCCAAGGTAAACCGCCTGCATCTTGCCAAAATTCCAAGGGACATTCACAGGGGGAGTCTTCAGTTAGGTCCGAAGATTTGAAAATTGTATTGTTGAACACGAGCTTGAAAGGATGGCATGAGCAACGGCTAACAAAAGAGGTGTATAGAGCTTTGACCTGGGACGCGATTCAGTCCCATTATGATGGGGCTGATTCCTTCAACCACCCTCTTGATCCTGCTGACTCGCGTAGCATGTGAACGCGGATGGCCTGGGAAGATGTGTTTTATGTTTCATTATAATACTCACCGGTCCACCTGCCAAGCGTGGAACCGAGGTAAGTTCGTTCCAGTTTCTGCCAATTCAACATTGTTTTCTCAAGTATAACATTACTACGCGCCGGATTAATGGAATACATCTATTACCAGCAAGACGGTATGTAAACAGGCGGCTTCCGGTTTCACCTGCGAAATGCTATTCTGGGAAATGTAAATCATTACGCTATAATTAGAAGCAAATAGACCTATGTGTGGGCTCACAACAAGCCTGTACGCATACGCCTTCCAAATTTTCCCTCCTAATACACAATGGTATCGATGGCTTGCATGCAGATTCACATTTCTCTTCGCGCAAAGCGTCACACACCGTGCTGCGCACAGATGTCTATTGGATTGACCGACAAACCCATTTCGGCGCCACCTATTCGTATTCCTTCAGTCAAGACAGATGCGAATGACTTTAATGACTCGTTAGTATCACTTCCTTCCCAAGAAAAATTTCACCTAGAAGCCTTCTGACACACGATCAAACGCCCCAATACTACAGTGCAGTAAAAGTGAGAGCAACTGTTTTACACCTAAATAATATGTCCATACTTTCAATTTTCTCCTTAGGAAGGTGCTGTAACCATAAATGCAACGCAAGCAAATCAGTTCCTAACAACGGTATCAGTTGCGGAGCTCTTATGCTCAAATGGATGCTATCAGAATACTTCTTGTTTATCTACGACATCCCCGGATCAGAGAAAAGCCTATCCAGGGAACAATGTGACCACATCATTTTCAAGTAAGCGTGTGTTCTGTGTTATATGTAATAAACTAATGGCTAGATAAATAGTGATTAGATTTATAAAGGTTGATTATTTACCAACAGTTGGACGGTATCCATCTTTGGCGTCTTAAAATTTATGTTCTCATATGATGCTCTGGCATTTTTATACCCGAAATGAGTACTAGTAAGTTCGCCATAAACCGAAATATTACTCTCGGTTGACAGAACCAGTGGAGTTTTATCTTTTGGCATGCAAACGAACGTGATTAGATTAAGGTAGTCTGAACGGTTTAACTTTGCATAAAAATAACACGTTTTGTAACTAGGAAGGAGCTAGAATTTAGTTATGGTAGAAAGGGACAGAAAGAAGAGGTGTATAGTTTCGATGTTGGTATGACCATAGTGATTACCCAGCGAATCACATGGCTTCATCCTTTGTTTGAAATGTTTTTAATGGTGAACTGCAGAAGAAGAAACTTGTTTATACACGGAGGAACTGGACCAAGTGGTCAACTGTGAACAATGCGTGGCTGACGCAAAGAAACTTTGCAGTCAATGAAGGTTAAAGTGCGAGCTCATTTCAGGTCGCTCAGGCCCACGTGAAATCAAAAATCATGTCAGTAGAGATCAAGAAGCATGATGGTCTACTATCAATGGCCTATGCCCAAAAGCACTGAAGAGGGCAGAAAACTGTGAATCATTATGTATCACCGTTTGGATGTACACTGCTGACTTGACCACTTTTTTAAATGGTTGTTGTGCACTATCACCCACTTATAACTTTGTGAGCTACCATTTTAAAGAAACGGCACGCAACTTCAATCTGGTTATGCTATAGTGCAAATACGGCCGATAATGCGATTTCTCGGAGATTCTCCTGAGTTGGCGCAGAATTTTGTGGATTTTATCAAGACCTAGAAGTATCCATCTGTGCTAGCCCAAATCTCTCTTCGGTGAACTAACATGAAAAAGCAAATGGCTCATGAGTCGGGCGTAACAAAAGACTCGGCTAGAGGCATTTAGAGATTTCTGTTTGAATCTCCCCATACTAGCAAATGGTCACTGGATAAAATTAAGATCTACAAATTTTGAGTACTCCTAGAGTATCAGTACCAGGAGGCAACGCATATGGTGATGCGCGTCAGTCTCTAAATCCCCACATACAGGATGGTCTGAAGAAGGACATGGAACTCTGGCAAACAATGAAAGCTGAGGAGAAGATCACATCTACTTTCACAATAAAAAACGGCCGTTCGGAATTATTTTGTTGAATGAATTGGCTGGAGAGGGACAGTTGATAGTGAAGCAACAGCTTAAGAAGATGGTTCAGTGATTTATTTGCGAAAACAGTCAACTGAATGAAACTGAACTAAGCACCCTGAAGAAAGGTTAGGAGGCCACCAGGGCCGGCACGTGCAGTTAAATGCGATGTAAATCCGCACAACCCCATCAGATTAAGGTTGCACTTGCCAGATATATTTTCCAAAGGATGGGGGAGCAATGTAGTCGGATGGTCAGTTATCAGATTCGTTCAGAAAGGCAGAGGAGCTCAAGTACTCTAGGAATTCAAGATCCCGCAGATTGATGTACATCGACCATCACCGTTTAAATGGCACGCAAACACTGTGAAGTCAGCCATGATATACTAGGTATTCTTTGGTCTAATCATTCGTAGGTTTACTTAACACAAAGAGGCACGTTTGTGAAAATCCTCCGTGAGGGTTCGTTGCTCGTACAAGTACTCTACGATGCATTTTGGAGCATTGAAATTTAAGGCAGCATTACGGTACCTGTGGTGTAAAGGTGTCCTTCATGTTCCGTTGACCCTACTTTAAGACAACTCCTATCGATAGGCATAGTACTGCGGGAGCCCCGGCCTGAATTTTCTACATCTGTGCAATGCTGTCCCCAATCACATTTCATCTATAACTTCGTCACCGTTATAAAAATGGAAGACTTCTACCTATTCTCCAGCACCTATGGGGTCGTAGAATTGCACATGTCTGGTATGACTCTACCAAAATGTAAACAAGAGTGACCGACTCAAACAATCCTACCCTAAAGTTTGGATGCGCCTCACATACGAAAGGTCTCCAGAGCTACTGCAAGACCGGTCAGGATCAAACAGAAACCATGCTTTCCATGCCGTGCACTTTCTAAAGCCAGGTAATGTCCATCTGACGAACTGTAGCGTTCCTAGCAATTTAGTTAGAGGCAATATCTCTCTGTAAATATGAAAGCTTATAGCTGTCTTTTTCCAACGTACGGATTTTGGAAGAAATAGCTCCCTAATCTCAGAGGAGTTTGTAGTATACCGTAGTCTCTCATGGCTCATTAAACTTTCCCATATGCTAATCTGTTGACATTTTTGAAAGGTCGTTTTTTGCATGCGTAGGGAAGTAACAGGAAAAGGGTGTCAAGCCGTGACTTAGTATAGAAATGTGAAAGCTAGCGCCAGAAAGCTCTGGGCGTATGACCTGATGTTCACAAATTAATCAACCAGAAGCTTCTGTACAATTGAAGGGCATAGTCATCAAGTTCTAATTCCGATTTATGCGCTGGTACATGAAACTAGTTTTTAATTCCAAAGGTCCCAAAGTTCCAAAGAGTACTGATAAAGGTGATGTTTGGTCAGTTCATGGTGATTACCGAAAATTGCTACCGAGGAACTACAATATGAAGTAAACTCCAGAGTACAGCAGTTTATGCAGGATTTTGACTGCCTACATCTTTTCAGCGACATCACTGTCAAATGCACCAATACGCACATATACTTTGAAACACATGAGTTATTTGGAGAGGACAGTGACAGGATGTCAGTGCGACACAAGAATTGGAATCAAGGGTAAGAAAGACCGAAACGATGGAAACCGAAAAGTTTAGGGATGATAAGAGAAAGACAGACGCTCAGATGGGTCGGATTTCGGAACTTTTTCGAACTTTAATCACGATGTTCAGGAAGACCGTCCATAATCTTGAATACTTTGTTATTTATTTTAAAATCGCTAGTGAGCTCGAAATCCCGTGTGAATTAACCTGAATTCAGCAGAATAAAAATTTACGGCGGGCTCAGACTTATTGTTGCCAATAAATGTTGCTAACATCCTGTGAAGTAACGCCACACATATGATTAAAACTTCTAGTGATAGGTCAGCTGGCCCTGGACGCTCACTGCGGATGGTACAGCTCACCAAATAACAGTCAGCAAGAAATGTGGATTTCAACATTTAGCCAACTCCTCGTATGTGAACATCATTATGGATTTGAAAAAGTCCCCGAAACCCACCATTGGATTTATGTCGCCCTCATAAAATTCACCAAGCAGCCCAACAGAAAGGGCTTGTTTGTCATGAAACCCACCTCCACGAGGGTAAATCTGCACACTTTGATGTGATAGGCGAATCGGAAAATCTACTGCGGTGGTAACAATTGCGTAAACGTATCAATGACTTCGGGTGTTGATGTCCGGTTGACGCACCATTTCACCAACAAGACAAGCGTGTTAGGAATGCACTCAAGCAAAGGATTGTGTCATTATCGGTTCCGGAAACGAAAGCGAATTTCTGTACAGTGCACTAGTCTCGCAATAAACAAACCTCTTAGAATCGGTACTATTTTTTTTCATTTAAATAATGTTTCATTTAGTATCATCCTAGAGATTTGTACTTAGATGAACAAGCACATGGTAATTTGCTGTCGAGCAAAAATAAAGCGCTCAAAATTGGCGTGCTAAAACCAGCAATGCAGAGACGTTTTTGAAGTCGTAGGTGGTGTTATGCTGATGGCAAGCAAACAGAGCAATGCTTCATCCATTAATTACGTTGGGTTGAGGATCGTTTGCAGGCAACAGCCTAGAAACAGGGACTACATTTTTAAATTTTTATTCACCTACAATTTTTATGTACATAAATGTTAATAATATTAAACAAATACTAGTAGTGGTAAATAATATAATAATAATATAAACAATAATATATAACAAACAATAAGTGAATAATATAAATATATACGAATAATTTTTATAATGTTTATCTCTGGCAAGCACTCTTGTGCCATTCTGATACCACTTGTAAAAATGACCCAGAATGATCCTCGAAAATGAGTAGTCAGCACTACACAACATATACATTTTGTTAAGTATTCCGCACCCATTTTTCGATTGAGCTGCTTTTTGAAAACATATAGGTTGTATGTCTATGCTAGACTAGTGGTCATAACGACCGTCTGTGGACGCGTTGCATCTTATTGACACAACTGCAATGACTCATTGTTCTCTAGTTTCCGCTTGTAATCGAGTAAGATGTGGGTAGTTACATTTGAATGCAGGGGGAGTTGACCACTTGTATCATATCACAAACAACCAACCAATCGATGCCGCATACCACGCCCATGTGGGTGTTTATTCTAGTGTTTAGAGGCCTATCGATTCCCTGAATTTGCAGCTATCCTCCGGATTGTTCCTCACTTCAGGCTATGAGACGTCGCCAGAAGCAACAGACATCAAACCTTGTGCAAGCTCAGTAAGCGGAGTGACGCCGAGTTCTTTGCTGGATGGGAATGTGGTTTCAGTCGCAGTTCCACAACAAAATCTGATCCTACCTGTAACACAATATAGCATAATGCCACTTCTGGTGTGTACGAGAGGTGAACCATCCAATCATTCGAAAACACGTAATAGTAGCAAAACCAAAGGCATTGCATCCGACCTGTCGGACACCATCCCAGTTTCGGTTCCACTACAGTCTGGTATTCAAGGTGTTGGTAAAAGCGGTCCATGTGAAACGCCGGACTACGTGCCAGCTTCCCGTTTCATACTGCAGTCTGAACTTGCTTGCGCTTCCTCTCCGGAGACTACCAACTCACTCGGATCATACTCTAACACGTATTCTGCAGCAGAATCCCATTTGTCTCGAGGGGATGAAATCTCAAAGGCTACCTCACCTGGAACGTGCAGCTCTTCGAAAACTACATCGTATAAGGATTTTGAAGTCACTATGGCAATCATAGGTGCTCACTGTGGATTACAGATTTGTGAAGGCGTGGCCAGCGGAAGTATGGTTAGTATCCGATTGATATGCTTATCTCTATCTTTAAACTCACCTAAGAGTATATATTTCCGCGTCCACCAAATATCAAAATTTAACTTTGTTTTTTTATTCAACCTTGTCTTTATGGACTTGCATAGGTGTTTCTTCATGTCCACTTATCGATAGCCATACATGACAAGCTAACAACTTTCTGATTTTGAATAGTCTTGCCCTTAAGTTCAATTATTCAACGCTGAAAGCTAAACAGCACTGTCCAGCTGCTCCTTCCATATTGTAGGCTTCGGGATCCCGACCTTCGTTAATTGGTTTGGATGGTCGAATGTTCACCCTGCTAGCCAGGTGGTCAAGAGTTCGAAACTACCTTCATTTTTCTGAGTTGCACACAGCTGATGCTGACACAGCATTGCGGAGCCTCACGGGTCCAAGCATAGATTGACTGTACTTACAAGACAAAAACTTTCAAATCTCCTCACAATACCAATCGTGACTTCAGGTTGAAAAAGGAGGCTCAAACAAGCATCGAGCGAGCACAAACCTGGAAGATTCCAGTCAGTATGTTAATCGCATTCACGCGCCTCTGAAAATGGGGTCACATTCACTGCTGCCATGTTCTGGGCGTGTATTGGTTCTGTCCTAGGCATGTGGTCAGTTATTCAGACCCAGTTAGCTCTGTCTGTTTGTTAACCTGGGTATCCGCAGCTAAATACAGCTTGATTCAGTCGTATCCAGGTTACGTGTGCTTACATGTTTGGACTTTTTTGTTTGACAGATTATACGTATGAGTTCAAAAGAAGCGTCTGTGTTGATCTTACATTCCGTGCCAACCCGATGTGCAATGACTGTGGTCAAAACTTAGCCCGAACTGATAACAAGTGGGCTTTGTTCACAGATGTGTGACAGCGTGAAGAAACTCACGATTATTCTAGAGAGCCCCACAGACACATCTGAAGCAGCATCAAAACTAGCAGAAGCGGCGGCTTTTTGGAGGGATGCTCAGCCTATATGCTTTAGTTTTATAAAACAATGTAAGACATACCACAGAAATCACGTCGGTCCAGCTGTTTAGAAAAATGCCCATTTCCTCTATCCCGTTTAAATCAAACTCGTGCTTGTCCAACCCCAATAAAAAGAAAACCACCGTGAGAATATCCCTGAAGTTAAAGGGCTTTTTCCCCATCTGAATCAGACGTTAATAATATTTTTCGTCCGGTTTTCGAACATGTTTCTTACAATATGAAACCTGACCTGCGTTTTTGCATTTTTGGACTTCTTGGATAGTGGTCGTCAACCTAATAGGGCTCATGGTAGTAATGTTTATTGTGGTCTTTTTCAGGTTGAAGTAAAAGCTGTTGATCTTCGGCACGTACCAAATCAATCAGTAGTGCCGAAAGTCGGTGATCTACTATTGGCAGTTGAAGGAAGTCCTGTGCTCAACAAACCCTTAAGTGAGGTCAAAGCAATTCTTCAACATCACATTGAAACAAGCCCAACCAAATGTGTGCACGTTTGGCTTCGGCGAACTCCACAACTCGCTTGCAATTCTCCGCCCAACCGAATGCCGGCCAGGATAAAATTTCGAAGTTTTCAGACGAAATCAAACACGCACTTAGAAAAGCTTCCCATAGGAACCTCAGGTTAGCCTTGTTATTCCTTTTTTCAAAATTTTTATTTTGTTCTTCTTAACACGCAACGTTCGGCAAACCGGTGTCAATCATGATTCCATCGGTCGTGAGCCGGAATGTATTCATATTTTTAAAAAATGAAAATTCATCAGTAATAAATATTCACTTGTGTAATCCATCTGAAAAATATGGCGAAGGTACTTTAGGATCCATATCCCGTTTTGTAGTTATTTACTGGTCCTTATAAGTCATCCGTATACTAATCAGGTGTAAATGGTCGGTTTGAACATCAGAGAGATGAAACAATTGTTTGTGATACTATTCAAGTATCCTTTCTACTCAAGAGGATGCTGATTATCATAAAAACAACCTAGGAAATATGTAAACCAGGGCTAGCTGATGAGTCCGGACTTGAAGTATCAGATGATCTAACGATGTACTCTAGCCGTGCCATAATAAGTTAGCCGATGGAAACGTGAGGTCCCTGGTAGGCTGCAGAACTGGTCATAAATAACATAGCAATTAACATATTAGTTTGGATTTATTATGTCTGATTTGAGGATAAAAACTACACGAAGCAAGTATACTTGGTCAAGGTAACTATACAAGCGCTGTACGAATCAGAATTCAGTCAATGGAAGTTTTACACTTATTTGAACGGTTCACATAAAATCAGGGATATGAGCATGTGAGAGTAAATTTATAAACATAGTCTCATTGGAATTGGTAACTCAAATTCAGCAAAACATTTTGCTGAACAAAACGTCGGTTGTTCATACAAGCAGACAATGCTCCGTGGAAAAGATTTTGGGTTGTTACAGCTTTCGGAAGGGTCTTGCTCAGATTGTTCAAACATCGATTTAGTCCAGAAAATTCCAAGCCCAAACGACAAGTGTAGCAAAGTTGTGTAACCAGCTTTTTCATTTTTAGCTTTTCTGCACTTAGCTCATACAGCACAAAATAATGATGTAAGATGACGGGTAATTATTTTGGTGATAATCTCTTCCTTAAAAGGCAATCATGAATTATCCGTTTCTCCCCAGATTACTGCTTTAGTCTTCTGTTTTCCCCTAAATTTTTGCACCACCGTGTCTAAGATGGTAACCAATTTTAATTAATATGTCAGATAGTAAGTTAAATTCATTCTAAATAAAATGTAGATCGTCCCCTGTCTCTCTCTGCTTCGCGATTCGCATGATTTCGTTTCACTTCTGTGGGAGGAATGAAGCCAAAAGAGTGAGTGTGCTGAAACTTTCATCCCAATAGTATTATCTCCGTTCGCCGAGATGAAACACATCGGCTAGTAACCAGAATAGTTGAGAAGAATAGGGACAACCCATACACTACTTCTGAGTGTACAACTTTCACACAATCGAGAGTTCCGTACTCTTTCTAGCAGATATCTGACATACAGTATGCCTTCTGAATGACCGTGGTATATGACGAACATGTTGATGGAAATACCTGGCACGATGTTTTCCAGTGCAGTAATGATAAAGGTCGAAAGTGATGGAGCAGTCGGTCAACCAACAGACACCTTATTTTCCGGTCATGTGTTCACCACTGGATTAAAACTGCTCACTCACCGCAACCACTAAAAATAAGCCCTTAGGATTCTTGATAGCTACACTTGAGGCTGTGTGAGTGTGGAGTATGTTTTGACAAAGCACAGTAGAAGTGCGGTAACGAAAACCAAGTGCGTGGCAACCCACCCTTTTCTAAGCGCTTGTTCATTAGGATCAAGTCAAGGTGTGATATGGAGGACTACACACGACTGGAGTTAGTGTCTTAGAATCCTCTAAATGTCAAGCATAATCAGAATGTATAGTCACGACACAGTAGTTACGGACCTTCGCACTTGTCCTAGTGTCTGGAATTGGACGAAGTTCGTTTTCTTTAATCAGGTTACTGTTTTAAGTAGACCAGACAAAACTTAAGTTTACTAAAGTTTTTAAATTGGATCTTGCTGTAAAAGTGGGTTCATAGCCTACACGATGAAAGTTAAAGCGCACAGGATGAAACAGGTGCAGACGGATGCAGACAAACACAGACAAGACAAGTGCAGGTGCACTCTAGGGAGAATGTCTGTACACTCTGTTCGTTAGGTGATACTCAGTGGTGTTAGTTAGGCTTGATAGCACGTCTAAGGCTAGTGGACTCGAATTGAACTCGACTTTTAAAACATTTGACCAGACCGCCCTTATTTTGCATCGGCACAAGATTACTGAGCTATAGATAAACTTCATCTAGGTTTGCTTGTGAAATAATACCCTGTGAGTAGCTGCAATTGTTCTCCTTGGTACCTGTATATCGATTTATGTTTCTGCGTAAAGCTGTGTGCTAAATATACGGCTCGCACTTTATTAACATATTCCTCATTCTTGGGTCTTTCAAGCTAAATTTCTTGTTTTATTTGCCACCATTTGCGCGAACTTTCGCGTGTGTGCAACGATCGATAAATATATCAAAAAGAATGTGGTCTGAAATTGCGAGAAATTTACCTCACCGTTCCACTCTACCGATACAAACTCAGGCAAGACTGATCAAACAAACCAGATATTTTATCAGAGTGCTATGCAAGATCGTAGATACAAGGGGTGGAATTTAGAAAACCAAAAGTTGGTCGTAGCTGAACTGGTCTGTTGAGGAGGCGAAAGATCAGAGAAGGTCTCGAGATATGAATTAGAATGTGATTTTGAAGGCCTGTTAAATGAGTAGATAAATGTCTCGCAATGCTAGCCAACGAGGCAGTTTAACCAGTCTAGGGAAAGTTTTGTGTGTGATCGATGTCTATTACGAAAACACAAAGGCTCAGTGAGTCAAGATAAGCTGGGTAGCATAAATCCTACTATCTTATCTTAGTGCCCTTGGGGCTGCCGTAGTGCCGAAAACACGACGGACATGTGTGTTACATCTGCCTCTTAACTGGTAAAATCAAACAACTGAATCCCACCGAATGCAAATGAGGCGATGAAGTCAGTTGATGGAAGAATTATTGGTGTCCATTCAGCATCCGAGGTCTACAAGATGTTGAGTGGGTTGAAAATATCCACGGTACTGTAGCTTCTTTAGAGAACCACACGCAAATTTTTGCACTCATTCAACACCTCTGTCAGGTCTGCGTTTTGCGGTGTGGTGATAATGCTTGGAGAGATCGTAGAAAAAACGGACTAGAATGTAACCCTGAAAGTTAGTTATTGTTGACTGAGATCTCTTGCGCTAGGGAAGTGTGGCGTACCTTGTGTGTTTTAGGATAATCAATCGTGATACATTTCGTCCGGATAAGAGTGGCTTGAGAGTAATCCTGTGTAATCTGTTCGTGTGAGCCAAAGATCTGGGTTCTTATTCGACTCATTTGCCAGCAAGCACTTTCCAAAGATACGCTGTAGTCACAAGACGTTATGTGGCGCAGCTACGTTTCGTTATCGTTAGCAGCATAATCGTATTTCGATAAATGTAACTCTTGAAGTTGGGATGCCAAGTATGCATGAGTGTCCCTTGACAGTTGGCCTCAGACAGGCCTCAGTAAGCTGCAGACTAGGTTGAGGTTCGCTTTTTAAACCAACTGTTTTCTAATGGTCTGTAAAAAGGACGTGACCTAGTGCCCATGTTTCTTTTCATCTTAATGGTTAATCTTTTCAGGGATGGGTTGCTATTTCACCGAAACCACTATCCATGCAATTCGTGACCACGATTATTCACACTTATTTTCTATCCTCATTGAATATGCAAGTCTTAGGCACTTCCAGTTCGATTATCAGACAGCTTCGGACATACTCTAGTATTGAATCCATGTGGTTATTATACAGAATTTGACGTTGGACACAGCCAAGTTGTTTGCGCTCGTTCCGAAACATGTTCATAGCAAAGTTCACTTGTGATACAAGCATCAGATCAGGCTAGTTTGTTTGGTCCACATGCGCAACAGGGGTAAATCCCTGGATTGCTTCTGAATGGCACACAAAGTTAGCTGTTGAGCAAGGTGTAAATCGTCAGGACAGAGTATAGTATAAACCTGGACTGCGTTCATAGAATTACTGGTTCATGGAGAAGGGATTAATGAAAATGTTTAAGTTTGTTAATTATTCCATTACCAACTAGTTTCAGCGATCAATAAACCAAATAACCTATGCACGGTATTGTATGAAAACACAGTTGATAATACATTGAGCCATTTGTTGTCACTTATTTGTTTTAGTTATTATTTACGTTTATTTATGTATTTATTTATTAGTGCACTATTGGCCTGCTGAGAACTTACAACCCAGATAATCGATGTTCTTATGTTTATGTATCAGTACTATCCATCGTACCCACATATCCAACGAGACAACCCTGAGAGTAGCTTTCCGAGCTCATAAAATGGACGATAATAATATCTATTGGACCAGATAATGATCCGTAGATTTAGCCGATGTTTTGGAACATAGTAGGCTGCAACTGTCCCAATTACGCTTTTCGTATCTTGACTTGGGTACGGAAAACAGAATATCTAATAGGGCGTGATGCTCAGAATTTCACTGGTGCAGGACAATATGAAGGAATCAAAATCCGGACCAACCCAACTTCCATCCACCTTTTTCCTGTCATTTTCACCTGACTTGCTCTATGAGGTGTGGATTTCAGATATTTGCATTGAGTGAAGATAATTTCGTTAGAGTGATTGAAGTTAGATATTCAAGCAATATCAGTCGATTGCTAAGCTGTAATGACGTCAGGTCACAAGGTCCAAAACATTCTTAGAATTGCAGGGTAGCTCATAGGTTTAAAGATACGGCCCTCTGCGATATGCTGTCACTTATAAGCCAAGCGAACATATTAATTCCAGCAGCGCAGTGAAACATTACACTAGACTGAACCTCTTCGTGGTGAAACTTGTGATGGTGCACAGTGTAAGCAAACTATATAGAACGGACAAAACTGTAGGCCGCCACTTTTTTCCCCTTACAGTTCTAAGAATGATGCAGATCAACCGAGATGAAAAGACGAATATTCAGGTGGATAGTTTCTCATAACTGACCTTTTGCCACGAACCAGGTCAAAATTTCGGACTGCTTGGTTTTGCACTTTATCAACCATCCAGCTGCATATAACTAGTACCTGCGCACGTTCCCTGTGCCAACCGTACACGTGACATTCAACCAAGGTGTATCTTAGCAAACTTGTGTCATCAGATCTCTATGGACTGTTCCTTGCCATTTTCTATACGGTTTTTGGTTTTGCTATTTTTAATATATGTTTCTTTGCAATCTACACAGCTGAGCCAGTAAACAGAGCAGACAAATTGGCTCGCTCTTTCAACGTTTATTGTTTTTGGTTGAAATATTTAAAATTATAAACGAATGGTTTTTCAATTTAATGAACGAAATTTAGCTAGTGTTTATTTGCCTGTCACAAAGTGAGTAGCAGGAAGCACATAGAATAACAAACCGGTTGATAACGATTTTAACTGGTGAGCCTGATTGCTCTGTTTCGGAATAAACATCCATGGGTGTGAGTCAATTAGGAATTACACAGCGGTTTAACTGCGATTGAAAGCAAAACTTTTCGGATGACAAGGAGGATACGTAGAGATCATTATGAGGCTCGTCCCTCCGTCATACTATCATCAGTACAGATGACATAATCTGTGACATGCATGCCTGACAAATTTCGGTGTACCCTGATGACGTACCCTTGAAAATATTGAGGAATGGCGGTAAAACGCTACAGACTTGATCACGATCCCTCAAAAAATTGGCTTGTAAGAATGCTCATTCGAAAATTTCATTTTTTCGAGAAGCACACAGATCAACCAAGTGATGGCACTTGTATCTATGTGACCGGAAGCTCTCAGATATCAGATTCATAGTAATATTCACTAGAAAATAGTGCCATGAGTTACGAGCCTATTCTCTTAGTAGTCCTAGTATACCGACCAAAATATCACACTGCTATTTAGGCGTAGCATGATCGGGCTTGATCTACTGAAAATCACAGAAAACCTCAACATGAAATTACCGAAACTCATCAAACTGCCGTTATCCCATAAGTAGCTCAGAGGACAAGCAATTTCCTGAGATGAGTGAAACTCCCATCAAGGAAGCCGTCATACGATGAGCCAGGCAATACGAAAACACGCTATAAGGTGTCCCAGGTTAGTGGACGGGTGGTGCCATCTCCTCTCTAAATGCGATTTGATCGCGATGTTTGTCAGCTGTTCGTGGCCAAATGGTTAATTCAAACTGCCAGTTAGGAGGTCGAGTATTCGAGACTCCCTTGCGTTTCATATCACGATTCCCAGTCAGGATAGAACAGCTATACTGTGTTTCTTGGCTTTTAAGCACTTACAGATTGAATTCGCAGTTTAAATTTACCAAAGTTCTCATCACCATGACGGTTGTTCTGAGTATCGGATTTACTGTTGATTCGATAAGTTGACAAATCAAAGACTGACTTCTTCAAAGCAGTCCGAGGCAGAAGTCAGCTGACATTTTGGACCATTTGTCGTGACACATCGGGTCGCCTCCGGGTGTGTCAACTTCATTTTTTGCCTCACCTGATTGCCTGTGGTGCTTCTCGAAGACGTCCGGTATTTTTTACTTTTCTACGACGCATCCGACATATCCATACATCCAACTCCAACCAGGCGCTTGTAACTGATTTTGGTCTGGAGATTACTTACGTGAACATTTGCAGAGATCATGGGATCAGTGAACAATTAGCACATAAGTGTGTCACCCTCTCCTCAACAGCCCCAATGGAAATGAGTTTCGAAGCATGTTTTCTACATACAATCTTTGCTGAATAGGTACAGGAGTGCGCACCAACAAACATTGTTTGCAGTTTACCCACGAACATTGTTTGTAATCCATCGCTTAAATTAGAGAACCTAAGCTAGACAAATAGTCGTCTAGGTTAAAGGATAACTTGAAAGTATAGCCTGAGCCAGGTTGAGGTTGGGGGAGGCAAATGGACTCAGTAGTTGAGGCCTAGTTGACGGCGCTTTTATCTTTAATGGCTAGGGGGATGTGACGCAGGACTCAACTAGGCAAGCATACTGCTGCCATTTTACACTATGGAGTTTAAGCCTCTCTTTCTTATTTCTTACTTACTCCTACTTCACAATTACACATTCGGGCAATTTTTTTCAGGATTGTTTATGATATATATATATATATACATAGTACTGCAAAATCATCATTCCACGGCTGAGTAACTAAAGCTGCGCAATCTTTTTCAGCTACTTTTGATGTGGTGCTTGAGCGAAAAGAAAATGAAGGATTTGGTTTCGTAATTGTCAGTCCGCTGGACGGTTGCAAAGCCAGTGAAATCGGTAAGTTTTTCGGAATAGACGGTTTTCACTAAGTGTTGCTTCAGGGTAGCAGGTAACTGAAAAAAGCAGACTAAGCGGCTTTCATACAGAAAGTATAGACTCGCAGACTTGCAGTAATAAAGTGGTCTTCTTTAAAAGTCCGTGCTCGGATTTATAGATGTTCTTTCCCCTGTATTAAAAAGTATGCATGTATACAAAATTCTTCGAAAAATCAAAAACATTTCTTTCTCAGCACTAAACTACTGCCATAAATTGTAGCAGTATCTCGTCTTCATGAGGCTGTTGCGTGGTTTCGTGAATACTCACCACCGTAATTACGTCTTCCCTGCACACAACAATAAACTTCTAGTATATAGTCAAAACTAATTGGATTTTCAGGTATCAAAAAGGTGGGAATACTAGAGTATAGATGAAATTATCACTAATAATGGTGAACGAAAGTAGTAATTCTCAAAATTCCGATGCTTTGGCCGCCTTTCAACTTCTCCAGAAGAACTCATGCCAGTTTTGGACTATCATCGTTTTTTCATCGATCGCAATCCCCATCTAAATCACGAGCTACTGCAGTAATTCCAAATAAGCTTCATAATGTCAAACGGGATCTGCTGGGTTTTCACATAACTATGCCCATTATCCAGTAGCGAGAGATCCGATCTACAGGAGTAACTTTGACCTATACCATTATCTTTACTTAATAATAGATCGAGATAGATAAATGCATCTGAATGGTAACGTTTATGTTCCGAAAAACTTGTTACATTAAGCGAACGTCTGATTCAGTGCAAAACGTTACCAAACACAAAATTTTGATGCTTGTGATGCTGAGTTCTCAAAGTTAGATGTATCCGGAAATGTTTTCACCGATCCTTCTGGCGTTGATATGATGGTACTATGTTTTATCAACTGGTAGAAGTTATCTGACTTCATCAAAACCTAGTTCAGCTGGAGGAAGTCAGACGGCTGGTTAAAAAGGCAGAATATTTTCTCGAAATAACCTCTCGTTAAAACTCCATTTATACAATGAGTGCAACACAATGGCCGCGGACTCCCGTTTCGCCAATGGCGGAAACCGAATATGTTGGAATTGAAACTCAATCAGGCACCCACGCTGCCAGTGCACACTGTGAGATTATATGGATTTGACACCTGCCAAAGCAAACGCAGACAGCCAACATTTCAATAGATCGGTACGTGAGAACATCAATACAAAACAGGCTGCACTATAAGGCCAACCATCTGAGTAACTTGCACGCACCAGTATGTTGGCTGCGGTTAGGAGAGACGTTTGAAAGTTCATATTTAAATGTTTGCTTTTCAATCAAAGAAGGACAGAACAGTTTGGTCGGCCAGTGGGGTAATGATTTTAGTACATTTCTTCCAATAAAACGTAATTATCTTTTCCATCATGAACGTGGATTAAATATGCTTAACTTAACAATGTCGGATGGCTATACAGACTTGTTCGACCATTTTACAGCCCAGCTAGCGCAGAGGGAATAACTATAGTCAAGCCTCAGTTTTGAACAGATGCGCCAAAGACCCATGAATGTTAATTGGCCACATTGTGGATGATTTACCTGATGATCCGATTCGTCGGCAAAAAAATCCTCGAGTTCGAAGACTCTTGACAAACCTCCGCTTTTAGCTGTCGCTGTACCATCAGTTCTAACCACATCAGCAACTGTTCTATGAGCGTTGAATAGCCCCTTCTGCCCAGAGAGAACAACTGCACTGGCTAAATAGTGAAAGTTTAATTTTTGAAGGATTGGACCTCATATATACTTCTGGAATGAGAACATGGACAAAAGATTCACATGCTAAAGGCCCTGTAACGTGAATGGTAATAGGGAAGGATAAGTGCCGCAGAAAAACACAATCCGCAAATGCATCAAGGAACTCAAATTTATTTGCAATAATTTCGCATTCTTTCATAGCTAGCAAAACCTTATATCATTCTTGACAACCCCTGTTCTACCCACAAATCGAGTTTATCAATGTGGTTTTGAAAAAATGATTCGCTATTTTACTGCCTTCCAGGTTGCAACAGCTTTGGAAGTTAAATAAATAAAACACCCTGTTTGGGTTACACTTGTAGAACCGTGCACTAATCTACAGCGTTCTTTGCCAAAAATCTAATAACCTGAGGATTTTACACATAGAACGATCTTGCTGGCAGCCAGAATAATGTCAAAACAATAACACACCTGACTTCGAAAATATTCATTCAGCCTGACATGATTGAAACTATCCAACAGATGTCAGTCAAGAGAATCTGTAAGCAGAAGATGCAAATAAATTTGTTTGGATTAGTGCCTTGTCGGACTGCACCTTATCAACGTTTTTTTACAAATTGTGGGTTATGCAAGACCCTCACCATCGTACTTGCTTTCACGCCAAATCGTATGAGTATACGTAAACGCGATAGTTGGAAGACCGGAACTCAATTCCACATTTCAAGTCTGATATTGGTAGAAAGCTTACGGTTCACTACTGACCGACTCCGAAAGAAATTTACAAGCGTTTGTTAAACACTTCCTCACAAAATTGACAGTAATGTTTCACTAGAATGAAAAGATTTAATTGAGGCATCGAGAAATTTGACTGGCTATCAATAATCTGTTATCGGTAATAAACTTAATGAATTCCATGTAAGTACATCATAGTTACTGTGAACCACTTTAACTGGCTGGTGTACTTTCCGCACAAATTGGATTAATTAAGCCTACGTGATAACGGTGCGACACAAATTTGCATGCTGGTAAGGCCAATCACCTAATTTTATCGCGTACCAATTTAACTAGCACACCCAACGGATTGGTCAATCATTTCACGAAGCAAAGAGAGTGAAAAAGTGCCGAAAACATTAGTCTTGTTTTTTCTGAATTTTTTTTGGGGGATCAGTGTCATGCTGTCAACAAAAGTGTATGAGTATACGTAAACGCGATAGTTGGAAGACCGGAACTCAATTCCACATTTCAAGTCTGATATTGGTAGAAAGCTTACGGTTCACTACTGACCGACTCCGAAAGAAATTTACAAGCGTTTGTTAAACACTTCCTCACAAAATTGACAGTAATGTTTCACTAGAATGAAAAGATTTAATTGAGGCATCGAGAAATTTGACTGGCTATCAATAATCTGTTATCGGTAATAAACTTAATGAATTCCATGTAAGTACATCATAGTTACTGTGAACCACTTTAACTGGCTGGTGTACTTTCCGCACAAATTGGATTAATTAAGCCTACGTGATAACGGTGCGACACAAATTTGCATGCTGGTAAGGCCAATCACCTAATTTTATCGCGTACCAATTTAACTAGCACACCCAACGGATTGGTCAATCATTTCACGAAGCAAAGAGAGTGAAAAAGTGCCGAAAACATTTAGTCTTGTTTTTCTGAATTTTTTTTGGGGGATCAGTGTCATGCTGTCAACAAAAGTGAACCAGACCAGTATACTTTACAATCTTTGAAAAACAGTGGATTCCAGGGAGAGACTCCTTGAAAATAAGTACCCTGCTTCCAGGGTACCCTATAGATACGTGAGCTATTATTGTTGTGAATGCCACTTACAGAGTAAATTTGTTAGACTTTCGAACTCTAGGGCATCCACATTCACACGATTTTCTATGGCTATAGAGGGAGTGATGTACAGTACACTGAAAATCTGTGTGTGGTTTAACACGACAAACAGCCTCGGTTTTTGACCAGCCCATTTTGACGTAATTTTGGGTGAGGTTAAATACGTTCATCTTTCTATTCACGGATGCTTTACAGGTCGAATCATCCCCAATAGCCCGGCGGATCGATCTGGGATGCTCAAGGTTGGCTACCGCATTCTGGCTATCAATGGTGAGCGTCTGGCTGGGATGCATCACAGTGAGATTGTTCACATAATAAGACAAAACCAGCGGAAGTTATTGCTTACAGTACAGCGGCCTCCCAGTCCAACCAATCAGAATGACACCAAGCAGGATTGTAAGTCAATTAGATTGTAACCTCATTCTTCCGGGGTTTTATAAAAATATGGGCAATTTATCAGGTGTTTTTGAATAGATCAGTGAGACGGCCACAAGCCCCATCAAATGTCACTTGAACTAGCTACTAAATAAAAAGTTCGGAAGTTCTCAGCTGGTAATTCAATCAGAGCTTCTAACCGGTAAGTTTATGTGGAGAGTTCTGTAGGCTAAATTGGCGGAAGATCAGCTGCTAAAATGCGAGTGGGAGGCCTTAGTAGAAGCGTAAAAAAGATACGTGAATATCGGGAAATATCTTATCGTGAAGATAAAGCGGGTTTCCTATGATTACCATTAAGTGAGGGAAACGTAGGTTACCATTTTCAAGAAAGCTTTAGGAATAGATGTGAACATCCTGTAGATTTACTATAAATCTACTCCACACATGGGCAACCAATGTACATAGGATGTTATCCTCCATGGTAATATTACTGTTGTCACTATGAATATTTTTTTAGGCTGCTAGCTTTCAGTCTAATTTTTTTTGCCATTGCCAAAGGAAAAAGCAATGATCGCTCCCATCAGACGCCATGAATAATAAAATTCCTCTCAAGATCTAAATGTCAGTCGCACAATATACCTAGTGATTTTCTAACAGTGGACGAGCCTAATCAGGCCAAAAACGTTGAATTTACCACCTGCTGTCATAAGGAGGGTATATTATAGATTTATTTGGACTAACTGGAAAAGCTGTATCAGCATGTGAAGAATTCTCTGTGAGCGGCAGTGGGTGATGAAATATAACATAAATATTAACACCGTCATCAAAGGTAAATAACTGAGTAATAATTTTTTCCAAGTATGTATAGACCAGGGTTAAAAACTTTCTATAAAAACGCAATCATTTTTCGAGGTTATCAGAATAAAATTTAAACCATTCACACTTTTTAGTGAAAGAGATTAGAGGCGAATTGACTTGACTTTAAAGTGAATATTCATGTGTGCTCATAGAATTGTTTCCTGCGACGATGTGCCTTCTCAAAATCGCGCAGCTATGCATACGTTGGCGTAGACATCTGTATCACGTGCATTTATCGAATAATAATCAGAACGGCAGCAAAGCAACTACACGGGGCTGTTTGCATTTTCAACCCCATTCTTGACTAAGCGGATCTCATTCTGGACTCGACATCTCATTATTCCCTAACGTAAGCGCGGAAGCCCAGGAGATGTGCTTCGTTCACAAGCAGTAGTTTGTGAATTACCGTTGACTTCAAAAATTTCCTGGTTTGTTTTTTTTTTAAATAAAATATGCACAATTTTAACATCTACCATTTGGAGCAGCTGTTTACTCAATTTTCGCTTAAATGTAGGATACTATTCACGGAGCTTCTAAAGGCATACTTCGTCTTTCAAGATCGTGCACAATGTAAGTGAGGCCACCCAAATCGGCATCTGTATTACTTTTCATTTATTACCCATCATTAAGACATGGTATACATATAAATATAGCTATATACATGATAAAATTAATGTCTTTGTTGATAAGAGAAAGAGAGAATAAGAGAATTCATCACGTTATCCATCCGAACAAAGAAAAACGTTGCTAGCGGAGTGTCATTATATGGGGACTAGCCGTGATACGCCCATCCATTTCAAGAATTTTGTGTACACCAAAGAAACATTGTCACAACTTATAAAAACTCTTCATTCTGATTTTTGTTGTTATTTGGTTCCCCATAAAAATCGATAAGATCCCGTGTCGGCTGGATGTTTCTGGCACCCTCTGTTAGCATCACTCAAAATCGCATACTTCTCCTCTTGCTTCTGTCAGTTGCATGATCCAGCCGACCCAATTCAGTGCTTCATGTATATTTCGGTGGACTAGAGCTCCAAGGGCAGAATGCCTTGAGACGCTACCCAGCTACGCCCAACCTGTATACAGTTGCCAGTTTATTACTTGTTATCATCAAATGTCACTTCGCATAGGCACATGGATTTTGCGTACAAATTCATCTTCCTCGCCAGCCTACGTGGAGAGTTGAGCCAAAAATCATTTTATCAGAAATTTGATCAATCATTTTTACTACGGTTAAGCTGCACTGCCCCGAACATCCACCTTCCATAGCTCGGCGTCGAACACTATCATTCGGAAGTACATGATAAACAGTTATGTCGTTCTCTCTGAAGGGACACGAACATATTGAGTCTCGTTCATGATCAGGCGCCACGCAGTTGTAGTCAATATATTTATTTTTCCGGGTACTTGGACAAAATGCAGACTAGACTGAATGTATATACACTCATTGGCAAATAGCAATGATGAAATGGGTAAATAATGCCGACATACAAATTTGACTGTATCAGGGTTTGGGCTTCATCAATATAGGCAGAATGTCAATAAATCCTAACCACCTACGCAGTGAATGGAGAAAAGCATCTGTTCTGATTGACAATTAAGTTTGATATGTTTTATCAACAGACATTACGGAGTTGCCGGAAGATTTGCTCGAAAGGGTCTCCTGTTCGAAAACACCAGACGACCAGGTTGAATACGCAAGGATGAACGCATGCAAAACGTCGAATTTGGTATGCATGTTATTTGCACATATTTTAAAGTTGGTGGTTTGATACGCTTGGATTAGCAGAGCTGTTTCCTTAAACTATTGAAACCAGTTGTAAGACATTATTCTCGTAAAGTTTTTGTACTATTATCCAGATCCAGCTTGGACCTCCTTAAATGGTTCCAACACAAACGGTCGAATACAAACACGGATGGACAGTTGACCAATGTCCTATCTACCTAAATCAGAGGATAAGAACCACAAATCTGCATATGAATAAACAACTCAGACAAATTAAACAAAAGCCTGTACAAAATAACTCATTTATATTCCAGCGGCACGTTCGAGAGGAGCTAATATGAAGCGAATCCACTGCCCAACTCCATCCACTCTGTTCAATAGAGAAAACATATTCGCCGATTTTAAGGTTTTCAGACCCCAAGAGCAGATACATTAGAAGAGATAAAAACACATTGACTGGTAGTCTCATAAATTTGGGGTGGCGTATTTGGAAAATCCGTCACAAATCCACTTATAGCTTAGAAGGGAGAGGTCACTCACACTTTTGAATTGGCCTCTGGTTTTTGTATAATAAGAGATTAAAAACTGAATTCTGAGGCAGGTGTGTTGGCAAAAAGGTAGATACGACTTGTTTGTGGGTACCAAAATATAACTGCTCGCCAAAGTCGGAATACAGGAAGGCAAATTTACATAACTATCAGCACACCGTATAATACGTATAGTGGTTAAATATCCACCGAAATACTGCGGGTTTCGGTAGTAAAATGTGCCGCGGAAGAACTCTGGGCGGATTGGTTGTGCTTAAGTTGTCAGGTCTTAGATGACGCCAGGGATCACAAATACATTAGGATGGCATCCAAATCTGATTTTCCGGTGAGAAGTTGTAAGGGCACTGGAAAAATTCGCGTAGTGAGAAGTCGCAGACAGTTAGCGCGCAAGCGAACGCAATGCTGCTCACAAGCTCTTGGCGTCGATGTAAACAAATGAAGTTAGGTCAGCGAGCGAAAGTTTGTGGACCTGTTGCAAGCCGTCTGCGGCCGCCGTTAATACACAGCAGTCGAGACGACCCTGATCACTATTTATTCGGTATAATCGGTATTTCAACGCGGAGCATTTGGTCAACAGCACATTTAGCTTCTTTGAATTGCACTGATTCAAATAGGCCAAATGCTTCGCTGATGTGTACATCATAATTTATCGTGGTCTTGCCAATACTCGCAATTCCGTAGCTTTTTGGAGCTGTAGCTACGGCTTGCAGGGTTTTCACGGTTAAAACACTAACTGCATAACTGGCATACATCTCAAATCCCCCGATCGAAAGTGAAAGCCTGTTGAAATTTGTGATCAAGTACCTGAGTGCCACACAGCAGGAGGTGAAAGCGCGCCATCACAGAAAGCGCCCAACTGCATTGAAAAGAAGTTCACATGTGATATCAGTTTTAAAACATTTTAGAAAAAATTGGAGAGTAATCTGAAGAATGTTTAATATGGCTGTGTTAAGTACCCATTTGTACAGTAACCGGGCAGGCACCAAGAATAAGGTGTCGGTCAGCAACTACTCCGTAACGAACAATTCAGATGTTTCCGGGTGTTCCACAAATAAACCAAACCTCGCCTCAACATTTTTGACTTGTTTATCACTAACAACTTTAATGTGAATAAATAAGTGGTACCTAGCCTTTTTGGAAAGATCAGTATTTAAAATTCACAACACTGAATTGACCTGACCATAGATTTACCTGGTGATCGGGGTTTTTATGCTTGGAATAGTGTTCTAGAATGTCACGAAGGGTTTCACTGAGCTCAATGTGTTTATTCGCAGAAACTATGGTCATCCCCTTGTTTTGTGTAAGGTCAGTCTTTTTCAGAAAACTAAAGTAGTATACTTCAAGCTATAGGATTCTATATAGGATGACAAACTTAAAGTCCACAATAAAGTAAGGATGAGCTTCTGATTTATGCCCTCAAACTGTTGAGTTATGACGCATGTGATGCGCTACGTCATGATGCATTATTGAGCCTTTCGTTTGATATCGTACTTTATTCTGTTCACTGATCATTGCTTGTTATCATCAGTAACATAGTGAGATGACTCTTCACTGCTGATGTTGAATTGCCATTATTTTACGCCATAGTAATTCTTGCTGAACACAATCATTTAAAGAACAACTTGAGTTGTGTTTTGGGAGTCTTCGTTTTTAGATCTTCTGTATTAAATGAATTGTTCAGAATACGCTCTCCAAAGAAAATGAAACGGCTATGCGGCTTTCCGTTGGCCAAATACCTTTGCTGTACTGTGTCAACTTGACGAAAGGAGCTGAAGGTTTTGGATTTTCCATTCGCGGTGGAATCGACTTTGGACGCATTCCGCTCTTTGTATTCCGCATTGCTGATGGTGGTCCAACGTCTATGGATGGTCGCATCCAGGTAAATAACTGTCAGCCTGTATTTATATATTCTGAGACTGCTCCCTGTTTGCAAATATTACTCGCGTCGGCAGATCACACATTGCAAACATAGATCAGCATTTGAGGAAGGTACCTGCGGACATCAATGTCTAATGCGTGGCTTGTATATGGTGGCTGCGAAAGCACAAGGTGTTGTATGTAAAACTGGACTTTCCGTAACAAACCCAAAATTAGCATTACAGTGGTAACATATTCCGATCACGACAAAACAAGACATTATATTCAAAAAGGAGTAAGATTTCTGGAAACCTTTTGCATAGACATTTCAAAATGGGCCTTTTCTTTCAGGTTCAGCGTCTTGATTTCAGAAACGTGGTTGAACAATCTGTAAATAGATTTAGGAAACAAAGTCAGTAGCATGTGGTCTTTGTCCGGGTCATTTCCAAGATGATAGATGACAAGGTGAGAAGTAGGGTTCTTTTGAGATAGGCACTGGTGATGATTCTCAACAAGGACGAAACAATTCTACAGTTCTTCTCGGCTTTTCGGGATGAACTGAGCTGAGTGCCAGTACAAAATCTCCATTGAAACTTTCTGAATCCCCTCACTATACCAACAGAAATTTTTATTCTAATGGAGTGTGATCCTTCCCACGTTCTGTAGAATAACCGCTTTTATGATCTTATTCTAACTTCTTCATAGAAACCGCCGTGTAACGATGGCAAACTTGGTGGTTATGCGACAGTATCAACAACGGGTGCTAATGATTCAACAAGTGGAATTAGATTCTGGAAAAGTTTGGGTTCTTCACATTGTTATCAAACAGCTCGACTGGCTGGGTAGGCTCGCGACGTCACACTTAATCTGAAGGATCGTTCCATTGTAAAGCTTCGGTGTTAGGCAGAACTCCACACGGATCCCGCTTTACCGCACGTCTTTAGGCGCTGCTACGGCCGATAACCCTGTCCCGCACGAGATTTGCCAAGAATTCGGGACACTTGCCGGTTCGGCATCAAGGCGAGATCTGATTGGTCAGAAATCTGGACCTGACAGCCAATCGTGACCTAGTATTGGTCAAATGCCGGTTGCCAATGACGCATCCGGAACGCGTCAGAACTTCGCGAATGTTATAACCCCTTACACTATATATACGAAGCGCAGTACAACTGTTCTTGACTTCGTTTTTGGCATTAATAGACCTTGTGCACCTTTAGTGGTTGTTTTGACGTGAACGCTAGCATATGAGGCTCAGACCGGGAACTAAGCTGAGGAAAATATCATTACTATATTCGGTAAAATCAGTAGTTAGTCCAGTGGATGTGATGAGGCTTGCTATTGACAAATGGCTTGTAAACAGTTCCTTACAAGACGATAATGATAAAAATGATGAAACTGAATCCACCAATTGCCGTTTTACTCTTCCTATGTCTCACCAGAAGGGCTTAATCCCCCGAATTTCCTTCAACTTCGTGTTCTATCTGGATACCCTCCTTATCTAAGTTCTAAAGCAATACAAATGTTTTTAAACTGTAATATCACCATCATTTACGTTATCGCCTTGGAAGTGATTTAAAGTAGTGAGAACTACGATCAAAATATCTTAGTGAGATGTCACGAGTGCAATCAGTTGAAAGACATTGACATATAGCAGTGGTCTAAACTACTTGATTAATTATTGTAATCTCCCCATATTTTGTTGTGTTTGCTCTCGGAGTGATTGTTTTTTATCGGAGACCTGCACTGGCACAAGCACAGGGTCAAGCCGTTACGCTGATTCTGCCGACAGTCATACATTTTATACTGATGAGGATAATTGTCCTTGCATGGAGTTGATCGCTGTTACAAGGAAATCGGTTTAACGATGGATATGTTTTATAGGAAGATCTGTATGATTAATACTGTTACCACACCGCACTGCAAACTAAGCATTGCCCAATGCGTTCCTCGCGACTCTATGACCTATCTTAACCGCGGTCGACGAATAAGTCCTGATTCACCCCTCCACTGAAGCATCAGTTAGAGTGAACGCGCTACACTATCCTCATGTTAACATCACTGAAGTTGTGCATCAGAATGAACTAGATTTGGATGACATGACGGCTTTCAGGGTTTGGGTGAGAGCAAAAAAGAGATGAGCCACAAAAGTTACGTAAGTTAGTTGAAGGTGACATGTAAAGCCATCATGTTCTACCATACAACTTGGCTTGTTAGATTAAACTCGGACCATTATGCAGTCGGTAACCTAACTCATGCATTTTGCTGAAATGCACACCCATCCAAATAAACGCCCTAGGCTCGGCGTAAAGCCGAGGGATTATGACCGAAGTGTGAAGCGTGGGAGGCAGTTCTAGAGCCAACGGCATGCTCAAACAGTAGCCCCTAATTGTCGCTTCAGAGAGGAATAGGTTAACACCCGAGACCCGCAGGGCACGCGTATGAGACGCGATCAAGTCACATAGGACTAATCAGTATTCCCTTGCTTTGTCACAATGTACCCAGTATTACCGATGTAGGCTAGCCACACTGAAAGTGTATGCAATGCTGGTGAAACAAGTTCCGTTGCAAAAAGGCACAATGAAAGCAGCATGATAAAATCTCGCGTTAACTTACAATGCAATGCACTATGACAATGGTTTTAGGTAGCAATGAACGCACAACCCGGTAGCACGAATCAGTAGCTGTGAGCGGCGGTAGTATATACACGGACATCATCGAGGGCTGTTTACCACCTGCAGCACCATCCTAACCAATGACACTATAAGGAGAGTATAGCTTGAAACTATTGACACCTAATCACCGAACATTAGAATGAAGGCTCATATCCACCAAATATAAGCCAGCCAAACAGATTCGATTGTCGAATAAGGAAAATGAGAGCAAAGGTTAATATCACGTAACGTTAGAAATAGGACACATTTATGAGCGTTCGTGTAGCTATTCGTGATTAACATTGGACAAAATGCGTCGCTTATTATGAAGGCTAAATAGTTTGCACTTTTGCACACGGTTCGGTCACTGAGGAATAAAAACGAATATCGTTTTGTTTCACTTCTCAAATCCAAAGCCTGCATAACATTGTTTTACTGGTATTGGCAGCATATACCGGCATAGACAACTCAAAAGTTGAAAATTTCATCAACCGACGGTGGTCTTTACCATGTATGTATCGGAATAGTACGTGTTTTTCGAAAGAATAATAGCTATTCTCAAATGGCAATAAATTGATCCTGAGCACAGCATTCTAGCATATGCTTACATACTAAGATGATGTTGACGGAAGTCTCGATGGAAGCTGAGCCGAATATCGCACTTATAATACTTCTCTAATAATACCTTGCACAAAAGTCACGTAATGATGTTCAAAGGGCTACTATCTGTGTCTCAACAGGATACTGCTAATAAAGTCGATGAAACTCCGGACAACTCAACATTTCGCCATTTCTGAATCTCTCTAGGTAGGCCTACTCAGCCGGAACATTGAACTCTGAGAATGTGACGGCAAATATTTCCAAACTCAATTTGGTGAGAAAATACTAAGCCGCATTTTGACTGTGCTTGACGCCTGTAGATTTTCTCTGAGTGTGCTAAAAGAATTTTGCCCCGTAACTCATGTGGGACGGTACTGAGGGAAAATGTGAGATATGCCCCTATATCCTTATTATCGTTGAAACTAAAACGTATTTTTCATAGCTAATTTGTTTAAAGAAAGAAACAAAGTAGAAGTTCAGCTAAGTTTCATCTAACTACAGGGAGCAAAACGTTCGCAAGCCAAATCGCCGCAGCTCGATGGAGGTATTTTGCAGCAATGCCAGGCACATATATCCAATGCATCTGGGAGGTTTACCGAAAGTTTGCGCGTAAAAGAGGATGAACTTCGCTTATTCAAGGCTTTCTTTTTAATTATATGTTGTTCACTCGGATCGTTCTTGAAGGTATCCAGATTTCCACCCCTGCTACGCAAATATATATATATATATATATATATATATAAACTATTACACAAATATTCTCTTGTTCACATTATAGAATTCTTCGTTACAATGTAAAACATCCCTAAACTTTAACAGCAGCAACTTACAATCGATTGGTTATCCCATTTGCCCAACGAATTCGAAACTTACAGAAAGACGAAAGTGTTTGAAAAACTTATTTCAAACAATTGTTTGGTGAGCTTTTCGGTTGCCATGAAGATTTATGTTTTAAATAGCCCGCTTGACTGCTATTACCCACGTTAATTGATACGATACTTGTTCTCAAATAATAAAGTTTATCATTTATGCGTCATCATATTGGCTCTTACACAGCCAATCAAAACTCTGAAAGTCGGTCATGAAAATTTTGAAATTTCTTCTCCGTTACAGATTGGGGATGAAATAGTTGAGATTAACGGAGTTCCAACACATAACATGACGCACAAGGAAGCAGTGGACGCAATTCAGCAGAGTGGGCAACATTTGAAGATGCTCCTTTCTCGTCAAAGTAGCAAACTGAACGAAGCAACTGTGTGAAAACTATTCTTGGAATCATTTTTGATTTAATAATTCATTTCTCAAGTCAGATGGCCTAGTCGCAAAGTTTCCAAGTAAATGCTTTCTCCAGGCTTGGGAGGAAAGAAACGGACTACCGCGTATCTTAACAGTTTTATCCCGAAAATACGATGTAAAAATGCTAGCACAGTAGAAATGGGGCAAAAGATAAATGCGGAGACCCGCAACGTAAACTGTTCCAGTTAAAAACCAAAAACCTCAGAGCGCGATATTTTCGTATAGTTGGTGGCCTAGTCACCGCTCAAAATATCGAACTATTAGCAAAATGTTTCTTCGGGCCGCTCAACCATTGATAAGCGTCTTATGCTAGGCAACATATACGAATGCACGGCAAATACGTTACGGCTTATGATTCTTTGCCTTATTTACCCCGGCATTGAAGGCATGTCCTTGACTATTTCACGGCAAACAGTGCGCTAAATAAGCTTTTTCTGAACATATCGAAGCAAGTCCAGTGTGCACTTTAGTGATTTATCACGCAACGACACGGTAAACGAAAGAATTTACATGCAATATGCTGATCATATGACTTCGAAGTCGTGAGCAAAATGTGAAAATATCAAAAAGCCTTAAAGAAAGGTCGTTGTGTGAAGTAACCGTGACTCTTCAGGATTTATACGTCCAACAAGGACCCTGCCATCCGAAAACCATATGACGACGTCCGTTGCAAATATTTACACAAAATACCACTTACAGCTATCCAGAAGGACGGACCATCCCACAGTCACCTATTTCAAACAGTTGAATATAGTCGATTCAGTTCAGCGGAAAGATCACTCATAGAGTAGGTGTTGTTTAGTGCGAAAATATCGCAAACTTCCTTCTTTGTACTGAAATGTAGAAGATATTCTCTTTCAGGATCCACAAGGAAGTACTACAAAACATCACGTGCAGGTCAGCGTTAAGCAAACCATGTGCGCTTTTGTGGTCGATAGAGCACCTGAGGATTGACCGTTCCAACCATATCCATGGATCGGTATTTATGAATCATTCAGGGTTGCGATTTCTTCTACGAAAAGCCATAGATAAAACTAAGTATCGCTTCAAATAACCTTCTAATTAGAGAAGCGGAAAGATGGTTCACTGAAGCCCTAGTTTACAACTGGTGCAACCGCGTAAAAAGCAACGACAGGCGGCACTTATTTGCCATCGACATTAGCTTAAACACAATACAGAACGGACTCACAAATTCACCGACTAGAGCCCCAGGCGTGCGACCAGGCTAGAGTGACCAGTCGAATAACTAATGGCATTGCAGACCCGAAGGGTGAGCGGTACAGTTGAGTCATCATTTTGCTCTATTTATTTTGAGTAATCCGCAACTCAAGAAAACCACCTGTATTGGCAGAAAGTTTTTGAACTTATTCTATGCCCTTAAACGACCGTCTTGAAGTTTTATCAATTATTCTGATGTCACCATGAAACAAGATGCTATACACAGGACCCATGAACTGCCCAAAACCATGTTTGAAGATATCAAGTTTACACTCGAACTTAAGAGGAACAATCGACCACCATTCATGGACGTTTTGGTAGACAGAAAGTTGGATGGCAGTCTGGAAACATGCGTATACCGGGAAGAGAGACATACGGATCAACTACTGAACGACAACAGCCGTCATCCAGTAAACCACAAGCAGAGCTGCGTCCAAATCCGGTTCCAGACAGCAGAGATACAGCGACCCCACAGGATTACGGAAGGAGGAAAACTATCTATCCAGCGTTGCAAAAAAATGGATATCCAAGGAATTTTATCAAGAGAAGCTAGAGCAAGGAAATAGCTCAGCAACAGCAAGAACTAGCGACCAGACAGGTAGTCGAGAATATAGCTCATATAAGACCGGAATTATTAGCGCAAAAAGGAATATTCGAGGCTCTCAAACCGAATGGTGCGTTTAGGAAACTGATTTTTATACCGAATGGCAACTGAGAAAAAACTAAGGAAAATAATGTGGTATATTAGATCAACTGAAACAACTTCAGCACATTCTATGTTGGACAGACTGGGAGGAAATTATGCAAACGAATAAAGCTACACAACGCGGCCGTCAAGAGACAACCCCCCTGTCCCTGATATTCATACATGAAGAACACGAAGACCACAAATTCAACCTGGAAAACGTTAAAAAAAATTGGCATACGGAGACACGATATACGGCAGGGAATTTCTGAAAGCATGATACTCCGGGATGATTTGATCAACCGATGCGTTGACCCGGATACAGTTTACGCACCATTACGTGCACAGGATCAACCCCTCCACGGAACTACTCAGGGAGAGTTAAATATCGCATTCATAAGCCAAGAAGCAACGAACTTCTTAGAGTCGGATCAGCAAAGGTCACGAACCGAAACCCAGAGGAGTCAGTGACAGCGGTCACTCCAACATCGACCTCAGCACGAGGGCAGAAGAGGCCAGGCTCAAAGGTCACGTGGTCATCGATAAATCAGGACACAGGGTAACAGAGCAAACGACGGGACCGACCGACTGAACAAATCGTGATCGACGGTCAGCCCCGGCTAGTAGCATGTATAGTACCACACACACAACACTACTCGGCGCACAAGCAACGACCCCATGCTACGCTCCACTACGCTACATAACAACGCACTGACGATGTCACTCCGATTGTGATGAAACGTTTGCAATCAAATTTCCCAACTCAGCGGACGAACCAACGACCATCTACACTACCTGAGCCACCAACATTCTCCTCTAAGGCATACCTGCCTCTCATGTTTTTGGAAATCATCATAACTGCGCAAGCTTCGGAAATTAGCCGATGTTATCGGCAAGTCAGTGACGGAGTTTCTCTCAAACCAGCAAAAGTCAAAATACATATTTTTCGTGAATTCTGCGCATAAAATGACGAAATTTGATCAGAGCCACTCAAGAATTTTGATCGACAAAACAAGGTTTCTACCAATGAAACTGTTTGATTGGTTTGTTTGACAGTATTATTGTTAGAGAGCCATAATTCGGTAGCTCATGTGACGCGCAAAAAAAAGCAAACACTTCGCAATTCTGGAAGTAGGTACAGCCTGCTTCGAACACGAATAACTAATGCTCAAATATGTCTTTTTCTAAGAGCACTTTAGCCATTTTGGCTATATTGATTGTTATTGTTTTTCCGAGGGACAAGAATCTATGCTGTGATGTATTGTAGAGAGAGTTCCCCAAAAAAATATTATCCTCCTCTTAGGAAGCTTGACTTTTTAACTATGACCGTATCTACTGACAACGCAGGAAAGCATACCGAAGGAATGCAGCTATACATTCAAGGAACTTTTGTGAGCATCAACTAATTAACTTTAAGAGACAGCACAGAGCAATACGCTTTCCAACTAATCTTATCAAAAGGAGTAAGCTCGGCCTCCAAGCCTTACCAACCACTTTTCTCAGTGACTGTTAATGGACAATTGTTTAAACGAATCAGTACCACCTAGTTGAGATTATTCAATCAAACAGTGAAACTTGGAACTCCCACAAAATGCGTCATTAGTCTAAGGCCTTTTGGGGAAGATTTGCGCACTAAATAGCAAAGTGTCGTTTACTTTAAACTACCCTATTAACCTTGAAAATTTAGGACGGCCGCTTAGTATCGCAGCTTCATATGGCTTCAGGTTCACGTCAAATATCTATACTCAACTACGGGAAACTGACTCTCACTTGAGTATATCCAAAAGACAGTTTGAATTCCACTCACTCGAGTTCATTTATATTAGCTGACAAATAACTTAGTAGCAGTATTTTCTCTATAAAATTTCATATAACTTGCGCATTTGTTTTCGGATAATGCATGCATGACAGAAAATATCCACCTGATATGTGTTGAGATACGTTAATAGGAAACATAAATGACGTCTCAGTTGTCCAGTGATTTCTGAGACAATAATATCTGCGGCATTTTTCCCACTTATTCTGAATGATGAAACACGCTTTTCAAATTTTTTACCTTTATAATTTGATATTTTTTGATAAAATGGCATAATTATCATTGTTCACATTTCTCCATTCAAATTAATCGGTTTTCCTTCAGTGCGTGTAAAAGCAGCAAATCCTTTCGAAGTCATGGAAGTTAGACATCATGCTCCAAGATCGTTACTTTGAAACTGCCTATATCAGGGAGAAATAATGTTGGAAGCCTCATAAAAAATAATCCTATCAATTTTGAGACTACAGTTTATCCGTTTAACGGTTGCGATCTTATTAACCAAGCTGATCGTTTGACTTATAAATGTTTACTCTTAACCTTGCTATCTTAAGACCCCAAATTAATGCAATCAGAAACCATCGAAAAATATAGTGAATGTATCGGATCATTTGCTTTTTTTCTAAAATGTTTGCTGAAGCAAACGTCCAAAATCGAATACAACCTGCTGTTGACCCTCAGTCAAGAGTCACCTCGAAGATTAAATATTGTCACTTTTTCTATAATCATAACGCTATGGCCTAAGGAAAAATACCAGCTGCCCGATCTGCCCGTGATTTTCCCTGTTAATAAAATGTAAGATGAGTGCAACCCGGTACAATCAAATGTATACTATGGCAATTCACATACATATCCCAAGCTTAAAAATTCAGCGATGGAAAACTTGTACAGCAGCCATGTTCAAACTGATGCAAATGTGATCCTGTCTATTTCACATTAGTTTTTGCCATCAAACCTAGTGCACGAATGAATGCAATTTTTCCATGCCATGCATGCAATAACTGAGAAAACTTGATACAAAGTTGCATTATCTAGATTACCAGTAGGATTTTCTTCTCGTAATACCCTGGTAATTGCGAAATTTTTTAAATGATTATTTACCTAGGAGAAACAGAGTAACTTTCACCTGTTCGCAAACTTCATCAAGCTATTGTTGAGCAAATGTCTATGTGTTCGACAGCAACCTGACTTTAGTGAACAATTTGGAAATTCCAGATAGGCTTGTTATTCGCTGAATACAAAAAGTTCCTCTTCATTCTGTGACGTTACTTTATATTAACTGATTCCAGACCAAACGGGAAGTA